TGTATTTGTTATCTGGGGCTCCTCCCAGCCCTTCCTTCTCTGCACGCTGCTCTCCAGCAGACACTCGTCACCTGGCTTTCTCCAGACAGAGAGGCTATGTCCCCAGCAAGCCAAACACTTTTGCCCTTATCCAGGCAGTGATGCATCCAACACCCAATGAAGATGTGGAGAGAGGACCAAAGACTGTGTGCAAGAGAGAGGCAGGTACAAGCCTGTGTCTGGCAAAGGATTTATGAATGGTGGAGAAGGAGCTAAGCAAGGAAATGGGCACATGTGAGTGATGGGCCCTCCTGCTTCTGCCATCGTTGTGCAGTGAGCTTGGGGCAACACATTCCCATCTGTCCCTGGCAGTGTGTCCCTGCTGGATTACATGGGCTATTCTGTGCCTGGGAATCTGCTGCATTTTCCAGTTCCTTTAGGTAAGACACTGAGAGCTGACAGTGCTTCACTGTGGATTTTTGTCTGCCTGTGTCCCTGAGATGCTTGGCAATGGACAGGCTGGCCCTCCCCATCCTGCAGCCATTATCTCCAGCATGGAGCAGCAAGGCTAACAGGGACAGGAGTGTTACCTCAATAGTCAAAGGCATTAGAAATATCTTGGGGCTTCCTTTTTCCCTTCTGGCAACCAAACAAGACCTCTTGTTTGTTCTCAGAAAGAGAAGATTTTTTGTCCTAGTGCCACAAGACACAGTTCTGCCAGGGCACAGTGACATGAGAGGTCCTGCAGTCAGCTCTGCCCCCGTTCAAGCAGAAAAAGGACCATCCCTCTCTGTCCTGTGTCTGTCTCTATTTGCATGAGAATTTGTTTTTCTCTGGACTATGGATCTCTGCATAGCTGAGGATTTTAGGGAAATCAGGAGGGTGGGATGTGAAACAGTAGCTGACTCCTTGTTTCAGCCACTCTGCTAGTAGGTTGTTTTCTGCTTGTCTGAGTTTAAGGGAATTTGCGAAGAGTCTTTCCTTTCTGATTTGCATGGCTAATATGCATGTCCTGCTTTTCATGCAGCCTTTTCTATTTTTCCTTTATGGCTAGCTGCAAGGTGACAGTAATCCCAGAGTGAAGCTGTGGCACAAGGTGCTGAAGGAGGAGTGCAGGTTGTGAAAGAACCATCAGGGTCAGAGCTCCTGCACACAGTCTTTGGTCCTCTCTCCACATCTTCATTGGGTGTTGGATGCATCACTGCCTGGATAAGGGCAAAAGTGCTCAGCTTGCTGGGGACATAGCCTGGACAGAGAGGTCTGGAGAAAGCCAGGTGACGAGTGTCTGCTGGAGAGCAGCGTGCAGAGAAGGAAGGGCTGGGAGGAGCCCCAGATAACAAATACAGGAAATGAGTTCAGCACAACCACAAGCTCACCATTGTTTGGGCCTCCTCTCCTGTACAGCCCTAGAGCTGAACAAATGCTGGTGCATTTGCAAGATGAAGTTAAGTCTGGAGTTAAAATCCCAACACTTTGATACTGGCACTGGAAAGTTGAGCTCCAACAAGGAATCGCCACGAGCGTGGGAAGGAGATGTGGATATTTGGGGGTGCTCAGTTCTGCACAGGAAAATGGCTCACAAGGAAAGAAGGAGCCATTTTAGAAATTCCCTTGTAGAAAATAGGCAAATCATATTCTTTCCCATATTCCCATAAATCATATTCCTCCCTCTAAATGTTCTGGAATTAAGCAGGTTTCAGAGTTACCCTCTCAGAGAGGTGCCTTTCCAAAATAAGAGACATCAGTCAGATGATCCTGAGTTACAATCCAGCCCATCCTGTTTTCCTTAAAGATGCCTGTTTGTTACAGATGTGTCAAAATTGCAAATGCCCCAGAAATTAGGAAAATTGAAGTAAAAAAATTCTGCAGTTGCTTATAAAATGTGTGTACAGCTGTGTATGTGAAGTGGTGCAGACTGAAACCTGAAGGTGTGCTCAGATTCCAACTCCAGTTTAACTGGAGACTTAAAGTCTGACCTGCTCTAACAATCCCAGACTGTGGATTTTGCCCTGTTTCTAAAGGAGCAGGTGCTCTGACAGCTCCCTGTTTGTTTGGACAGGGATTTGTCCTGCACTTCAGATAATGGATTGCTATGCTTTATTCTAGGAATGGAAATTTTATCTTCCCATTATAAATAGCACCATCAGTAAAACTCTGGGATACCTTGGATACCTCAGCTTAGTGACACCATGCATAGGAATGCAGAAAATGCTGAATAATTTAAAGGATTCTATAAATACTTTCATATGGTGCTGCAATCCAAGTACCACTAATCGGATGAGCCTTGCACTTAACAAAACAAGTCTCTGGTGAGCCATTGCTGTAGGGTACTGGAATTGCTATGGAAAAAAACACTACTAGCAACTGACAGAAGCAGAAAATGGGGCTTGAAGGGGAAGAACTCAACTCTGAAGTGACAGGGGGTCCCAAAAACATCTTTCTTGTGGAGGGAGGTTACATATAAGGATATCACACTTTCTAATGTTTTGATAAAATCAACTGGTTACACACCTCTGGCACAAGCAGGCCAAACCCTTCCCTGCTTGTTTGCAAGTCCAGGCTGAAGATTCAGAAGAAATTTCTTTAAGAGCAGTCTCCAGTTTTGACTTTATCAGACTTTTGCCAGGGGTGTTATAGTGGTTTGCCCCATGGAGGATCCAGTAATGCGAACTCCAGAATAAAGATGAAAAATAAGGAAAGTCAAGGAAAGAAAGATTGCACTAAGCAATTTTGCAACCCTTGAGATGCTTTCTTTGAATTTGGGCCAGTGTGTGTATTGGGGTCTGATTTTTTGGGGTAGTTTTCCTTCATTCTCCAGTTGCTCCCATCTGTTCCATTTCTTTTGCAGTCCCTGAAGCTCCGAGAGGTTTTTAACTTGGATCACCCTTGCAGCACCTTCCTGCTGAAGACCCTGACAATCGTATCTGGCCCTGACATGGTTGACCTCACTTTCCATAACTTTGTGTCTTACAAGGAGAATATTTCCAAGGTATTGGGGTCTGAGGTCATGGAAGTACTGGGAGCCACTAAGGATTGGGGCATTCAGTGGGAAGCAGGAAAGGAGAGGGGGAGACAGGACCCTGAGCCCTTTCAGCATTACTGACAAGGTTATAAACCAGCAGGTTTATGTTACAGTCAGGTGTGGTGTCTCCATAATTCTAGAAGCTTCTGTCCTGCACAGAGAAGGACCGGTAGAAGACTGGTCATTGTCTTTGATGTGTTTTGTATGGATGAATAGGCAGCTGAGAAGTGGAAAAGCTTCAGCTCCTAGGTAGGAGGAAAGTGATAAAGTCAAGCCTGGAAGTATCAGACAGGATAAGGAGTAACAGTTTTAAACTGGAGGAGGGTAGATTTTGATTGGATGTGAGATGACTTTCTTTCCTGTGAGAGTGGGGGGGCCCTGGCACAGGTTGCCCAGAGCAGCTGTGGCTGTCCCATCCCCGGAAGTCAAGGTCAGGTTGGATGGGGCTTGGAACAACCTGGGATAGTGGAAGATGTCCCTGCCCATGGCAGGATGTGGGACTGGATGGACTTTAAGGTTCCTTCCAACCCAAACCATTCCAGGATACTGTGCCCCGTCCATGTTTGCTGTGTACTTCTTGGAGCAGTTCAGTAGTGCCTAATTACCTCTGCCCTGTTTGTTCCAGGACTGGGCTGAGGATATTATGGCCATTGCCCGGAATCCCCTCACGTACAACGCTCCCCGCTACACATTCCTAGAGAAAATGTAAGTCCTTTCTAAGAAACCTTTTTCTCTGAAACATCCACGTCCTGCCCTTTCTTACAGTACTGGAAAAAACCAAAGACTTCTAGGCATCCAGATCCCTTGGCAGCCTCCAGACCAAGGCCTGGGTCATGCCAAGGTTAAGCTGACAGTCTATAGGAACCCGATTTTCCATTCATAGTTAGATTGTTTGCCCAATTGCATGTTTTTCCTTTCTTCCTGCTTAGTAGGATCTCTTAAGATGGTACAAATGCATTTTTGTAATCTTGTTTGGGTTTTTTTTTCACAGTCTAGTGAAGCTGAAGTTGCAACTGAATGAAGAGGGAAAGATTCCTGTCCGGAAGTGAGTGTGGATCTTTGTTTTATTGTGTGTTCAGTCAGACTACAGGCAGAGCAGCTGGTGAGAGGATGGCTGATCAGTGGCTTCAGCTGTCTGCTCCTGCTGCACCTAAGAGGTGGAGAACTTTGCCTCTGTGTCCAGGCCATGGAAGTGTTCCTGCTGCACCTAGATGACACATAATTTGAGTCTGAAAAGGAGACTTTGTGGCCTTCATCTACAGCAACAAATGGCTTTAATTGCTACAGATATCACTTCCTGGTTGTTGCCAAGAAAAAAAGTAACAAAATGAAGCAACTTTGGTAAAATTCAGATCACAGATTATTTTGCAAACCTGAGATGAAAGGTGGATGAGATGTAGGATAGTCTCCCTTTCCTGTAAGGAGTTCTATATTTGGAGAGCTTTTTGCTGGACTCACCTGCAGCAGGGTTCCCTTGCTTTTCTTGTCTCCTCTCTCCCATGTGACCACTCCAGTCCTTCCCCACTTCCTCTGTCCCTCAGCCTTCACTCTGGATGTGCATGAGAGTGAAGCAGCCTCTGGGCCAGTGTTAGTGCTAGTTTAGGAGCAGAAAAGATTTGTCCTTCCCTGTCCCCATCTTGGCCTTGTGCATCAGGTGGGGCTCCCATTAGAATGGGAAGCAGGGCTCAGCCTGTCCCTTCTCCCCTGCACTATGTGGCATGAATCTGGAACTGATTTTATGCCATTCAGTGTCTTCCCAAGTAAAATTGCTCCAGGGCTGGTCCTGTGGTTCCTCTGTGTTGATTTAGCTTGTAGAATGACAAAAGGCAGCACTGCCATGTTGAATTCCCTTTTGGTCCATAAATTACCTTTTGTTTTAAGAATAAGGAGCTGCAGACAGTGCATTTGAGAAGTTCTGAACCACTCTGCTCTAGGTCTGTGCTATGTTACAGCAGCACAAGAGGTGAGCACTAATCACCCCAAATAAACACAGGCCCCAGGGTGTGTTGTAAGGCAGAACTGTGCTGGATTAAGGCTGTGCTGACTAAATGGGCTCCTGGAGGGCTGAGCTTTATTCAACACAAAACATTTTTTGTTACTTGTTTTCTAAACCATCAACCAGCAGAACTTAATTGTCAAAACCCAGAATATTCATCAAAGGGCTGTTAAAAATGTGTAGGTTTGTAATGAATAACACACTAGGGAAGAGTGCTTTGAATTGATCTTTAAAATGCAAGCAAGGTAGCATTGTGGCAGGGAGAAACCAGCTTATTCCTCTGAAACAAGCTAGAAAAAAATATCTGATACAGGATGTACCTCAGTGCCCATTTCTTGTAGAATGGTAAAAATGCAGACTATGAAATAGTCCAGATTAAGAACAAGGTGTATAAAAATACTCAGTATCTCCAGCTGCAGGTAAATATAAGGCTTTCAAAACTCCTGAAAATTCTATGAACATTTGCCTTTCCTTTACATATGTAAATCCCTTTGGAATCATACCAAGGCTGGTGCAGTTTTGCCTTGCAAAGGGCAGGGTTTGCATGAGCTGCTGCAGCCCCCCCAAGGCACTCCCACCTGGCAGCACAGGGCACTCCTTGTTCCTGTTTCCTGTGTGCACCTGTGATTCCAGGAGCTTGACAGAACTGAGGCTGGATTTATCTGTGGAGGAGAACATGGTGCTGTTGACAGGGATGTTCTAAAATGAGGAAAAATTCAGTTTCTTCTCCACAGTACCATAGGAAGCACCTCCAAGAGGGGCAGAAAAGGACAGGAGAGGGATTTTGAGTGACAGGGCTCTTTCAGAGTCCATAGCAGAAACATAGAACTTCTGCTTTGAGTCAGCAGTCAAAAAACCCTGTGTAGGTTTATCAATCTCTGTCCCTCTGTTACTCCCCTGGAGAGTTTGCTGGTTCATGCTTACAGTTCTCTTGCCTGTCTCCCTTGCTGTGTATTTGGAGTGTCCTGCACTGCCTGCAGCTCCAGCCCCCTGACCTCCCTCCTGCTCCATGGTGATGTTTGTTTTCCTGTCTGGTCAGTATTTTTCAGATGTTCCCTGCAGACAAGAAGAGGGTGGAAGAAGCATTAAGTGCTTGTCACCTACCAAATGGCAAGGTAAGGGTTTCTCTGGGTATCCAGAAGTCTCATGAGCTTGAGAAGATCTTTTTCCCTGCCCTGACTGGAATGCCCTTGGCTGTAAAAATCCATCAGCTGAGATGTTTGTAGTTGCTTACCTTACCCTGCCACTGCCAGGCCTTAACTCCGGCCTGCTGGCATCAGTTCTTACATCTTCCAATAATACTGGTGACTCCAGCACTTGCACCGTGTGGCACAAGGTGCAGCAACATCTGGCCAGATGTTCTGTCACTTACTGGGGTAGTCACAGCCTGAGCTGAGCTGTGGGTGTTCATGATAGGTAAGAGCTGTCATGGGTTTGTGGTCCTGACACATCTTCATTGCGTTCTCAGAATGATGCCATCAACCCCGAGGACTTTCCCGAGCCAGTGTACAAGACGTTCCTCATGAATCTGTGTCCACGGCCTGAGATTGATGAGATATTTACCTCACAGTAAGTTTCCCTCAAGCCACAGTTCAGAACTTGCTCTCTTGTGGCAAAAGTTAGACAGGAAGGAAGGGATTTAATGTTGTGTGGTTTGTCTGGCCTTCAGCCTTACAAGGGCAGGATCCCAGGTCACTTAATGCCTTCACTCACAGCCTGAATAAAAAGGATGAGACCTCACTGTGCTACGGGACCCTGAAATATATGGGCCCAGAGGGAGGATCAACCTCTCCTATGTGCAAAGATTTCTGGGGTAATTCCCAGGCCGTAGCTCTGCCCCTCTGTGATTCTCTCACTGCAGCCATCTAAAAGCAAAGCCCTACATGACCAAAGAGCACCTGGCAAAGTTCATCAACAAGAAGCAGCGAGACACCCGCCTCAATGACATCCTCTTCCCACCAGCCAAACCCGAGCAGGTGCAGAGCCTGATAGAGAAATATGAGCCCAGTGCGTTTAACATCCAGAGAGGTGAGTCTTGTTCAGCTCAAAGGTCTTGCTATAGAGGTGGGATGAAAGAGCAGAAGATCTTGTGCCCTCTGCCATCCTGCTTCCCAGGGGAGCAGTCAGCCTGGCTCCCACAGCTCTCCACTTCCAAAGAGGTGCCAGAACCATTCCATTTGGTGACCATTAACAGCTCTGTTTGCCATGCAGGGCAGCTGTCTCCGGAGGGGATGGTCTGGTTCCTCTGTGGCCCCGAGAACAACCTGATAGTGCTGGACAAGCTGATGCTGTACCAGGACATGACCCAGCCGCTCTCGCACTACTACATCAATTCCTCTCACAACACCTATCTGACAGGTGTGCCAGTCCAGGGACGGGGGAGGGACACAGCCAGGCAGATGTGTGTGCCCTGGGCTGACTCTAAATGCTGTGTCGCCCTGCAACTGAAAACATCTTGTCAGTCTGCTGCATTCACCTGCTGAAGGCTGGCAGAGATTGCTGTTGCCCCTGCTTGTGCTGGAGCTGTCCCGTGTGAGTAGCTAACGCTGAGCCTCTCTCCTGCAGCTGGGCAGTTTTCTGGGACATCTTCTCCGGAAATGTACCGCCAGACGCTGCTGGCCGGCTGCCGCTGCGTGGAGCTGGACTGCTGGAAGGGCCGGCCCCCGGACGAGGAGCCCATCATCACCCACGGCTTCACCATGACAACTGAGATCCTCTTCAAGGTAGGGAAGAGCTTTCTCCACGGATGCTTTCCCCTGCCTGCTTTTAGACTGATTGCTGAGGGAGCCAGATGGCTGAGGGCAAAGATGTTTGAGAGGAAAAGATTGATGGCGAGGTGACAAAGTGAATGAATGTGTAGGTAGAAGGAAAAGTGAACAGATAAGCACTAGGTTGGAGTTAGCACATTTTTTGAATGGGAGGAGTAGCAGAGAGGTTGATAGCTGGATGAAGATGGATAGAGGAATGAATAAGGGAAATGTGGGAAGTCAGGCAGAAGCCACGGAGGGGTGGCTGAGCAGAGGTGTGTGTGTACACATGGGTTGTGTCACAGGATGGATGCACAGGGTGTGCCATGAGGCTGGTGGATTTATAGATAGAGACACATCAGAGGAGCAAACAGGATGGCTTTTAGAAAACACACAGTTAAAATGAGTTTATCTTCTGGTCTGCAGCAGGTTTCTATGGCTGACAGCCTCAAGTGGAGGCTTTTGGAAGAACAGGGTTCAATTCCTTCCTAATGACCTGTGCTGGAATGTGTTTTGTGGAGCAGCTGGCTTCCCTGAGGATTCAGCTCCCAGGCTTCGGAAGCACAGCACAAAGCCAGGCAGTACAGGGCATTTATCCACAGCTTGCAAGTTACAAATAAAGGCATCATACTGAGTTTTTTTTCCTGCCCTCCTTTACACAGCTGCTGCCAACAGGTAGAGGTGCTTTAGATGTTTTTTTTCCAGCTCTTTATTTTTCTTCTGTACCTTCCCCCCAGTTCCCACACTCCACTATTACTAAAATATTTATGTGTGAGGGAGGGGAAAAAACAACAAACCAAATCAGTCCTTAAGGTCAGAGGTGTTGTCATCCTCAGACTCAGTAATTTCTAAAGCCCTGTGGTATCACTGCTGCTTTTTGCACAGCAGTTCACTGCAGATAGAACAGAAATAATGGCATTTGTAGCTGCTGTAATTGCAGAGTTCTGCTGAAGCCTGGGACCATTCCTCAAGGAAATTACAACCTGCTAACACAGCATGTGTTGGGTTTTGGTTTTACATAACACACAGTCCTTCCTTCCATTACAATTACTGTGGCCTTTTAGTAGCATTGTCTGAGGCTTCTTCTCAGAACCTTGAGGCTTCCATGACAGACTGCCAGTGGTCCATGGAGGGGCAGCTGTGGCAGCCTCCCTCCATGCTGAGGTCATGGCTGATCCAGGATTTGGGATGATCAAGAGACTGTAATTGCAAAGGAGCAAATGGCACTACTTTACCAATTAGCAAGACTAGAAAGGAACAGAATGGAAAGTTTGTGGCAGTTTAACAGGGGCTTGGGGAAAATATTATTTTTTCTTACATCGTTAATGCTGAGAAGGTTTCTATGGTATTTGCATTTGAAATGTCAGCACAGCTGGTGACTGAACACTCCAGCCCTCTGTTGCCAGGCAAAAGGATTTTATAAGCAGCAGAAATGATAGAAAATTGGGCAGGTTCAGAGGTAAGTATGGATAGAGTTTGCAGTGCTTTAATCTGGTGCTGCACACACCTTTCTTTGCCAGTTCAAGGTGCTTGAGGCAGGCGTTTGTCCCTCCTGGCCAGATGCTCTTGCATGCAGTGATGTGTACACCTGTGCAGCAAAACCAAAACTCACCTTCTTGCATCTTCAGCTTCATTTTGGTGCAAGCTGTTGAGTTTAGCTCCGTGTGGATCCTCTGGAGCTGGAAATCTGGGTAGGCGTGAAAAAGATGACACTTCTCACCTTCTTACTGGGAGAAGTTTAGTGACTTTGAAAGGGGCTCCTGAGAGAAAATTGTGGAGTCTCTTCAGTGGGAGGTCAGCTGTGTGTCTGTTATTAATGAGTGCTGAGCTTCTCTCTGATCATGGCCTCTCCTTCAGGATGCCATCGAGGCCATTGCAGAAAGTGCTTTTAAAACATCTCCATACCCTGTGATCCTGTCCTTCGAGAACCACGTGGACTCGTGAGTATTTGGTGACTGGGAGAATTGTCTGCTGTGTCCAGAGCAGAAAATACACAGGCAAGGGCTGCTGGGTTGGAATGGGACCTTAACATCTGCATAGCTGAGGTGGTTTTCTGTGAAGAGGACATGGATCTCAATCTTTTGCCCATGCCAAACTCTGGATTTGAGAATTTGGTTTTTTCTCCACTCCTGCCTGATCTCTCTTAGGCCCAAGCAGCAGGCAAAGATGGCCGAGTACTGCCGAACCATTTTTGGAGACATGCTGCTGACAGAGCCACTGGAGAAGTACCCGGTATGAGGGAGCTGGGCCAGGAGGCCACTGGAGGGAGGGAGGCCTTTCTGGAAAACTCGGTCACTCCTGGTGCTTGGAGGTGCCACAACAGACACAATGCCACAGACATGGATCCTGGTTCATGGGGGTGGGTGGAAGACTGTCACAGAGGTTTTCTTGTTTAGCACTCTGTCACCTGAGGGGCTCTGGGCACTGAGCTCTGAGTGGCCAGGATGCACTGAGGGTACCAGTTGTGTTTTGTACATGGCACTGGTCCAGCTCTGTCTGCCAGCTCTTGGAAACAGAAGTAAAGGCCTAATCCTGCTTCTAGCCTGGAAATACTCCCTTCCAGGCATAGGTGGGCAAGTCAGTGTTATGTGCTTGGAATAACTGAGGAAAGCTCCCCACCTGCTTGACCCCAGTCTTCATCTTACCTGTACAACAAGTATTTCTGTAGGCCCAGTGACTCCTTTGGTGCCACAACTGCCCCGCCAGGGGACATGTTTTAAACATCTGAGCAGGACCTGTGTTCTGCAGGGCATGAGACAGGTCCTTGGGGTTCACAGAGGAGGGTCAGCTGAGGCACCTGGCACAAACAGGTGTTTGAAAGCACTGAGACCCAAAGAAGAGCTGGAAAGAAGCAGTGAGCCAGCAGCAGCTGCCCATTGTCCAGCCCTATGTCCAGGCAATAGGAACAGAGAGGGATGAGGGAGGGAACAAGACAAGAGATCAGCTAAGCTATTAACAGGCCTTTGCTGTCTGTGCAGTCTGTCACATGTCCTTGTCTTGAGCCACCTCCTCTGGGATCTCTTTTAAATCTCCTGCAGGCAGTGTTTAAATCTGGCTTGAGGGACCGAGGATCTGGCATATAATGAGAGAAGTAGGTGGAATGGGAAGCCAGAGGAATTCGGATGCCTTCAGGCCATGTAGGTGTTTTTTTAGCAGGATGGGTAGCTAGGCAGCATGGCAAAGCCTGAGAGGTGCAAAATGCTGGTCTGAAACCAAAGGTGAAGTTTTAGGAAAAATCTGCATTAATCTAGTGGGATATGCTGGCAGATGGAGGAAAATTAGGAGTGTAGTGGGTGAGAGATGTGTCTTTGCACTGCCAGGGGGACAGGAGAGGTGAGTGTTTGAATTCTATGATGAAGTTTATCTGTTGCAGCTGAAGCCAGGAGTTCCTCTGCCAAGTCCTAAGGATCTTTTAAGGAAAATCTTGATTAAAAACAAGAAGAACCAATCTATGTCTGGGAAGAGGCAGAACTCTTTGAAGAAAGGGAGGAATGTGGAACCAGAAACCACTGAGCAGCCAACCTCTGTGGATGCTGAAGATACTGGTATGTCTGAAGGGAAGGAGGACTACTAAAATTGATGGACAAAGCCTTCCTAAATCATCCAGTACGAGCTTGGGGCAAGCCAGCACTAATCATTAAATCAGTTATCCCAAGCAGCAGCAGAATACTGGAATAGAAATTAAGTCTTCAGAATACTTTGAACACTTAGTCCAACAAAAAGAGACAATCATTTACAACTTGCCCATCATCCCTTAGTGATCCACTAATGCACTCTGGCTTTTCAGTTGAGGGAAGGGGAATAATTTGTTACTACTTGTAACTCTTTGATAACCACAAATTCACCGCAGCCTAGTTCTTCACCATGAGGGTCTTGGACATCCATGAAACCTTCAGCCCCTCTCTCTTCCCTTCCTGTCACATTTTGGGCTCAGGGCCCCTGTGGCAGAACAGTCCCTGTTGTGGTAAGAGCACATGTCATGTGACATGAAGTCATATGAGGACAAGTGAGCACCACTGCAGAACACCTGGAAATGGGCATTTTATTCCTACAAATATGTGTGACTTTGGAGGGGAAACAGCCCAGTGACTGTCACTCCTGGGTATGAGTGACATGAGGGGAGCCTCCAGCAGGAATGGTTTGGTCTCTTGGGTGTGCTGGTCCTCAGTGTACCAGTTCATATTTGGATTTGGCCGATAAAATTGTAGGATTCTTCCCTTAGTGTTCCAGCATTACTTGGTGATGAGGTTTGGCAGAACTCTCCACTGCCAGCAGCCTGCAGAGTCCTATCTGTGTCCTCCTGATCCATATCACTGATGAGGGCCTGTGTGCTTAGTCTGGGCAGGTGATGTGGCTGAAGAGGAGCCAGAGGAAGAGGATGAACAGCTCAGAAACCTGGATGAAGAGGAAATCAAAAAGATGCAGTCAGATGAGGTACTGTCACTATTAGTTTTTTCCTTTTCTCTTTGGATTTTTGCTGGCTTCCATTTTTTTCTGGGGCCTCACCCTACGGAATAGAGATGAACTCAAAGTGCAAAGGGGAATGAACCTGTCCGGGCTTTCCATCCCCCACACAAGATTTTTGCATGAGAAACTGAAGAAGATTTTGTCGAAAGCATAAAGAATGTGGCAGAGGAGTTCCTGCTGACTCTGCATGATTTGGAGATAACTGTTTGCCTTGGGGGTGTTGGACAGGCTTAGCTTTGGTCGGTGAAGTTGTTACTGAAAGTGCTGCTGCTGAAGGGGGAGGGAAGAGATCAGCATTCCATGAATAAAAGGTCTATTTCCCATTTCCCTGGTATCCTTTGGAGAGAAGGAAAAACAATATCTACAGTTCATCCCAGACTCCCTGTTCCTGAGGGGTCAAAGAGGTCCCCTGGGCTTTGTACATTCTCCCTGCAACCTCTCCATTTGCCTTGATTCCATTTTTGCCTGGCTGCCTGGAGAGTCTGTGCCCCTGCCCATCATGGAGCTGTAGGACTGGGAAGCCAGAGAAAGTGGAGCACTCTGGTCAGGGCAGCCACCAGAGCTCTTTGATTGGGAGGCCCTGGTGCAGTTTGTTCCATCTCCAGGGAAGGTCTCTTCATCTGTTTCCTTTTGGATTGTTTTCTCCTCAGGGCACAGCTGGCCTGGAAGTGACGGCGTACGAGGAGATGTCCAGCCTGGTTAACTACATACAGCCCATCAAATTCAACTCCTTCGAGCTCTCTGCCAGTAAGTCATGCAGAACAGGGACTGGGCGTGCCTTGCTCCTAAATGCAATCTCCTGTTTCTAGAGAAGAACCGGAGTTACGTCATCTCTTCCTTCACCGAGATGAAGGCTTACGATCTACTGAGCAAGTTCCCCATGCAGTTTGTAGAGTATCCTTTTGGCAGCCCTTTCCCAGTGCCATCGGGTGCTTGGAGTGCGAGGGAGATTCTTGACAGGATGCATCCTGCAGTAGCCAATGTCGAGGCTGCCAAACGCTTGTCCTTGGGTGAAAAGCGTATGGACAAGGACCCTGAGCCTCTCTGGGGTCTTGTCCGGATGGAAGGCTCTGAGCATTTGGTAGCAGAGCTCCAACAGTTTTTATAATAGGAATATGTGGGCTGGCCCCAGGGCACAACAGGAGCACTCCCAACTTGTTTCCTATAGAGGCTGTAGATACAACAAGTGGCAGATGAGCCGCATTTACCCCAAAGGCACCCGCATGGACTCCTCCAATTACCAGCCCCAGATGTTCTGGAATGTCGGCTGTCAGATGGTGGCACTCAACTTCCAGACCATGGGTGAGTGTCGGGGTGTGCTCCAAGCAGGTGAGGTCAGGTGTTGCTGGTCCCTGGGTGCTCCTGGTCTGTGTCTCTTCCTTTTCTGCCATTTCCCTGGTCATTATTCTATATGCCTTTTCCCAAAGTGCTGTTCTCCTCTGATTTGATTTCCCACAGACCAACAGCACTTGGTCCATGCCCAGCACAGACCTGGCACACACACACTCGTGGACTGCTGTCACCCTGTGTCTGGGCACTGTCCCTGGCTGTCCTGTTCCACGATGTCACACTGAATCATATCCATGAGGGCACCTGCAGCTCCCATCCCCCAAGTTGCTACCTTTACAAGGCAGAGGCAGAGCTCCATCTGGCCACAGCACTGGCCTGTCTGTGCCATTATTTCCAGGATTTTGACCTGACCAGAGAGGAAGGGCGTTTCCTTGCTGCACAACCAGCATAAGAAGGAAAGAAAAGCCTTGAGAGAAAGCTGTACCTCTTCCTTCCTCAGAGGGCTGTGTTATGTATAGAGCATAGGAGACAAAAGGGTGCGAGTGCAAGGTTTGTTCTGAAGAGGATGACAGTGCAGGCAGGTGCAGCAACCACCAGGCAGTGTCCTCAGAAGCATCAGAGAGGAGATGGACTCAGAGGAGGCCCAAAATGAAAGGCGGAAGGAGCAGAGGGGCTTAGGCAGCTACTTATTCCCACCCAAAAATAGCAGGTGCTCCTTAAAGCAGGTTTTAATCTAGTTCTGCCCATGACTTAAGGTGCAAGAGCAAGCAAACCACTTCCCTTCCTTACAACAGCTGCTGTAATATTTTTCCCTGTAGGGTGCTGAGAGGCTTAATTAGTTTTCAAGATGGCTTTGTAAGCCGTGGGCTGGCAGGGGCTGGAAGCTTCCGGCAGCTTTCAGCTCCCTCGTAGCACACAGGCTGCCTGTCCCCCCCAGCCCTGTCTCAATGTCTTGCTCTGCTCTCAGATGTCCCCATGCAGCAGAACATGGCCCTGTTTGAGTTCAATGGGCACTGTGGATACCTGCTCAAGCACGAGTTCATGCGGCGCCCTGATAAGCAGTTTGACCCCTTCTCTGTGGACCACATCGATGGGCTGGTGGCCACCACTGTCTGTGTCACGGCAAGTACACCCTGGGGACCCCATCCTGTGTCACCCAGGGGGCCTCTCAGTGCCACATGAACCCGTGGAGTCCTGGGGGAAAATGTTACTGTGGCAACTCCCAGGCTTGTCGCTATTTTAAATTAATCATAATCACATGAAAATGGAAAATGAGCATCTGCCGTGCAGAGGCAGCCAAGGCTGTGCTGGTGGGGAGAGAGGAAGTGCTGAAGCAAGAAATAGAGGTGGAGGTAAAAGAAGAGCTGGAGCAGAAAAGCTGTTTTGGGGTGGGAGAGTGACTTTGGGGTGAAGGAATGTGTTGGTCTCTCTGTTTTATTCTTCTCAGCAGTTGCTAACTCTGTGTTCACAGGTGCTCTCTGGCCAGTTCCTCTCAGACCGCAGTGTGAAGACCTACGTGGAAGTGGAGCTCCTTGGGCTGCCAAGGGATGCCAAACGCAAACACAGAACCAAACTGACGTCCACAGCCAACTCCATTAACCCTGTGTGGAAAGAGGAGGCTTTTGTTTTTGAAAAGGTGAGAACATTTGATAGTAATTTAGACAGAGAATCCTTAAAGCTCCTGATGACCATGAGCACCTCCTTGGGAGAGATGAGTCCCAGCAGAAGGGACTCCCCCCTGGAGACCTCAGGCCTGGCTTTGGACACTCTCAGGTAACATCCAAACAACAATATCCAAAACAACTCTGCATCAGTGTTTCCCAGAACAGACAAGGAGTAGCTGGGAATGGTTCTGGAAATAACAGGCATGCCAAGTCTCCCCTCTGTGATGCCCTCTTTGGACTGACCAGTTTGGAAAATTTCAGGTACCAGAAAGGAACTGAATTTCTGTGGTTAAATTGTCAATGAGAAACAACCAAACTGGAGCAGTAATGGGACCAGTTTTCAGTTGTGCCAGAATGTAGAAAGCTGCCCTGTCTCTCCCCAGGAATTCAGTGATCACCAATCCAGCTGCAGGGCACAGGGAAGTTAAGTCAAGTACACATTATACAATTCATCTGTCAGGCACAGTAGGAAGCTACAGATATTTTCAGACTGCTTGGCTGAAATATCCTCCTTTCAGAAACACACTGAAGCTTCACTCCTGGCAGAATATTTTATGGCACAAGAATACAGGGAAGGAGGGAATCAAAAGCCTTTATTTAGCAGTGTTACCATGCTTGCTAAATTATCTATCCCAGTTCACTCCATTCTCGAGTGAGTTCTTCCTGGAAGCAGTGGTTTGGAGGGTTTGTTGCCCTATTTTTGTCTTTAGGGAACCTGTGAACTCTGGGCAGGCTGAGCAGCCTGCATTTGGTGGAGTTTATGGGCATTCAGCCATGATGTCTATGGTAAACTGTGCCCTTAAATTACAAGATGCAGGAATAGGCAGTGCCATCCTGGAAGAGATGGAATTGTTTGGTTGGAAGGAGGAGGAGGATGCTTCTATCAGGAGTTAGAGGTGAGGACACTGGTGTCTTACTCTGCTTTTCCCTTAGATCATGATGCCCGAGTTGGCATCTCTCAAAATTGTGGCTTGGGAAGAAGGAGGGAAGTTCATTGGCCAGCGTATCATTCCCATCATCGCAATGCACCCAGGTAAATCCATGGAAATTCCTTCAGCTTTTGTGCCCTCGACACCTGTCCAGGGGGAGCCGTAGAGACAATATAATACAAACAGCTGCATACTTTACTCCTTAATCTCCATGCCCACAGACAGTGGAACCTTCAAATCCATCTTGTTATAGCCTTGGCTTTATGCTATGGTATCACCTCTTCTGTAAAGAGGGGCTTGGGCTGCTGGAGCAGTGGCAGGGAAGGGACAGGATTCCACCAGCTCAGCTTCCTCCCCTCTCTGTCCCAGGCTACCACCACGTGTGCCTGCGCAGCGAGAGCAACATGCCGCTCACCTTGCCCGCCCTCTTCGTGTTCCTGGAGATCAAGGACTATGTGCCGGATGCTTGGGCAGGTAGGGAGCGCTGGAATGTGCAGGGGGTGCTTCTGACCTCCTCCAAACTCTGATTCAGAAGCATTTTTCCAGCCTGGGAAGTGCTTTCCTGCTGCACCCTCAGTTCCTTGTCAGGGTGGGACTTGAGCGTATGCCAGCATCCTGTCACAGCCTCGCTGCCTTGGGAGAGGCATGGAGGCTCCCACTGCAGCTGTGCCTGGTTCCCACCTGAGGTGCAGTGCAGGACTACCAGGCTCCAGGAATGGCTCAGCCCTACTCTTGTTCAGAGGCAGGGAGAGGTTTCCTTGGAGGAATAGGTGACATCTCTCAGGGTCTGCAGAGAACAGGCGTTTTAGGGAGGTTTTAGGAGTGATGCTCTTTCCTGTTGGAAGAGAAGGGAGGTTCTTTCTGGTACTAAGATACGGGGACTTCCTTTGAGAAGGGACAGAGCTGGATGTGACAGAAGCCTCACCAGAGGGATCAAGTCATGACCAAACCCAGAGCGCAACAGTATCAGCCACAGGAGCTCTTGTAAATACTTCTCAAGTTTGCTTTCTCCTCCCCTATGTTCATACAAATGAACATTATTCACTGGGGAAATCCTGAGAAATTTGGTTTATCAGATTTTTATTAAAAATGAGGTTTATACAGTGTTGGGCTGGAATTGGAGCAGGGAGCTGTCCAAGTGGGAAAAGTCTTAACCTAGCCCTGGCTTTTGGGAGCAGAGTTCCCAAAATCACTTCACAGTGCTGCCCTGAACAGTTGTGAGCCATGGCCTTGGGCTGGGACTGAGGTGAAAGAGGTTCCCTTCCTCCCTCCCTTATGCTGTCATGGAGACATTGGTTACAAACAAAGAACACAAACTATTCCTTCTTCACAGTACCCTGTTCTGGGCAGGGAAAATGAGTCCATGAGTTGTTTGCTATCCAAGCCAAGCCCTGTTCTCTGTTTCCAGATCTCACTATTGCCCTTTCCAACCCCATCAAGTTCTTCAGCCTGCAGGACAAATGCTTGGTGAAGCTCAAGGATACCTCAGAGGAGGTGAGTTTTTCCAAGTTCTGTTCTCTAGAGCACCTTGCATGGATTCAGCCTGAAATAATGGAGTTTTCATTTACCTCTGATCTTTGTTTTAGAGGCCTGGCACACAGACAAACCTCTCATCTGCTGAGACTAATGGGGTGGCAGGCTCCACTAGGAAACCCAGTGTTCCTCCCTCTAATGGCTCCACAGGTAAGTTTCCAAGAGTTTCCAATCATTTAAGCGTCTTGGCAGCTTAATTAATTCTTCTGTACTGACACCAACATCCTTCACGTGGGCTGTGTTCTGGTGAGCTCTCCTCTGTCCATTTCCAGCCGGGGCATCCAAGATGAGACATTAACAGGAACTTCTTTTGGGATTTCAGGAGCAGCAGTGCTCATCAAGGATGAAGCTGTGTTAGAAGTAATGCAGATGGCAGGTAACTCCTCATGCTGGTCACCTGGGCTGAGGCCCTGCCTGTCACCTTACATTTCCAAATTAAAAAGACATGTCCCAACCCTGCCTGGTGTAGCCAGCACTAAAGACACATCCCTGCAATCCTGGGGCTCAAGGACAGATTACCTTCAGCACACCAGCACTCCCTGTGCAAGGTGTTGTTCACCTGCTTTCGGTGTCTGTGCCTGGATGCAGTGTGATGCCAATTCCTGCAAACACAGGGCCTAATGGTGCCTCAAAACTGAACTGAAGGCACAAGAGGAAACCTGTTTCACTTGGGATATGTTGGCAAGTAACTGTTAAGTACATTGCTTTTTTAGAAGTTATTCCTAAAGAGAAGTGTTTGCCAGGACAGAATATGTACCTGGGGAGAGGCATCCCAAGGTGTGGAGCAGAGGGGGCTCTGGTTTGGATCGAGGGACATGTGTTGGAGCTGTATGCTCCAGTTTCCTCACTCCAAGCCTTGGGAAGGAGCTGGCCCTGTTCAGCCTTTTTACTTTGTGTTTCAGAGCCCGAGACAATCACCCTTGCTGAGCTGCAGCAGAAGAAGCGCTTCCTGAAGCTGCTGAAGAGGCAAGAGAAGGAGCTGAGGGAGCTGGAGCGGAAGGGAAGCAAACAGAGGGAGGAGCTGCTGCAGAAATACTCGGCGCTCTTTTCAGAGCTGGCCTGCCCTGGGGGCAAGAAAAGGACAGTGCGCACAAGGAAAACCCAGAAGAAGAGGTAACCACAGCCTGGGAGTCATCTTCCCAAACCAAAACAAGGATCCCCAGGGACACATGGGCTCCCCTTCTCTGCAGGAAGATGGAGCAGTGCAGGCATCTACGTGTCCTGGGTTGTTCCCACTGAGGGTGGGTGGGAAGGTTGGGATTGTACTGGCGTGGTGAGAAGCAGCACAGCCCTGGATTCTGTTCTGCAGGAGTGTGACCCCAAGTGATGCTGGTAGCAGTGCAAATCCTGTAAAAGCCACAGAGAGCATCGACTGCCACTGGCTTGTGGAGCTGAGGGAGAGGCTGGAGATGGACCTCATCCACCTTGGGGAGGAGCACCACAATCGGATCCGAAGGAAGAAAGAGCAGCATGCTACTGAGGTGAGGGCTGTGAGTGCCACCTGAAAACATATCCTGGGACAGCCCAAAAAATCCCAAGTTATCCACTAAACTGAGCTTGGGAATGTGGGCCCAGAACACACCTGACACATGCATTGTCAGGTCCATGCCAGGTAACTGAGAATGAAGACATGAAGCTTGTTTGTTTAGAAGCCATAAAAATCCTGCAGAAACATTTTTATATGTCTGCTTTTTTTAAAAAAAAATAGTAGCATTGTCCTGGGGCACATCAGGCACCATCTGCTCCAGCTCTTCTGATGCCTTTGTATGAAGTACAGATGGAGTAACTGTGGTGTTTAGTGGCTTCACACCTTACCAGGTGCCACCTCTCTGGGAGCTGGGGTGATGTGGAGGTGGGCTGAGGGCTGACCAGTGGCACCATCAGAGTGTGTTCTGCTATTTGACTTGGTGGGAGTCAGAGTCCTGCAGGCTGAGCTCAGCCAAGGCCAGGAGCCACAGTGGTGCCCAGGGACAGAGTGCAGGCTGTGGGATGGTGGTGGTAAATCCAGCATATGCAATCTGTTCCAGTGAAAGGGGAGTGATTCCATGCTTGGGAGGCCTTTTCCCATTAGTGTTTTCTGAAGGAATTTGCACTGATACACCTTCAGTCTTCAGTTCCCTGGTGCACCTTAGGCTTGATGTGTCTCTTGCAAGCTGTGTGCAACCCTGAGAAGAAAATAACACTTGGGCACTGGCTCACTTGGGAATCAAGTTTCTTACCTGGGAGAGGAGCCAGGGATGAAACTTCCCTGTCTCACAAGTGTCAGTCCACTGGCACAGTGGGGCCTGTGTGCACAGCTCAGTCCTGTGCCAGTGTTTGCACCGAGCCTCAGGGATTCAGAATTTGTTGCTCCTGGAATTCAGTGCAGGGAGGTGTACAGCTGGCTTGGGTGCAATTGGATACAGTTGGGGTGCAGTGTCTCATCCTGGTTTGTTCCCTTTTGGCCTTGTGTTCATCCCTTAAACAGCAAGTTGCCAGGATCCTGGAGCTGGCCAGGGAGAAGCAGGCAGCTGAGCTGCAGGTGCTGAAGGACACGTCGGAAAGGTAAATACAGCAGTGGAATCACAAATAATGCCCAGTTCTGCTCTGGGGCAGCACTCTCTGCTGCATCTCAAAGCTCTGCTCTGTAGCTGGGGAGTGAGGAGGGGGAAGAGAAGATTTTTTTTTTTTCCTTTGGTGAGAAACTGAGGCAGGGGGATGTGACACAGAATCTCACACAGTGGCATGGGGGGAGGATGCCTCTTGTGATCCCCAGAACAGTGTTCCTGCCACAAGGCACCAAGCAGGATACAGTGTTCCATCTGCAATGAGCAGCTTGGAGCCACTGATGGGGAAGGATGGGAAATAGCACTGCTGGTCCCTGGCTGCCTCCTCTGTCTCTTGCAGTCAGGGCCTCACATTAATCCCTTCCAGGGACTGATTGGCTCCATCTTCTAAGTGAATTGAACCTTTGCTCCAATATTTAAACAAACTGGCAGAATCTATTGACCAGTCTCTAGTCAGACATGTATCAATTTATTGCAAGAACTTTTGTCTTGAAGCCAAAAATCCTCACTCATTCCTACTGTCCATTAAATTCTGTCTCAGTCTTTAGTTGCAAATTCAGATAAAACTCCCTTTTTTTGTGTCCTGTCCCAAGCCAGACTCTTTTTACTCAGCTATTCAGAATATTCAGGTCTAAGCAAACAGGTGAGTAGCCAGGTAGTGGTTTGCTGACAGTAGGATGTCATTAATACAGTCACATCTTCTTGGCTGGGAGAAGCTTCAGAAAGATTTCAAGATCTGGAGCAACAGGCAATGAAATGACAGTTTCATTGGAATAAATATAAAATAATCTGAATGGAAAACGCTGGCTACAGCCCAGCTGTGCACTGGTGTTGGCACTCAGGTAAGAGATCTTGAGGTGCTGTGGCTGCTCTTCATTCCCAGGCTCTGGAGGGGCCAGAGTAGCAAACAGGATTTTGGGAAGTGTACAGGAAAACAAAAAAATGATTGAGTCAGCCTTGTGCTACTGGATGTGTCTGTGTAGAGCTGTCCCCTTCTCAATGTACCATCTCAAACAAAAAGTCTGTGAAAGAGCAAGAAGGACAGCCAGCACTGAGGAGGAATTTGTGCACAAAAAGGAATTAAATGGGACAGCTACGAGAACAGATGTTTGAGGGAATGTGACAGGAATGTGTAAATGATGAATGGCATGGAAGAGGGAAGTGATTGCTTTCTGTTTTTCATTGGAATGAAGGGTGGGACAGCCAGTGAATGTCCCAGGTGTCTCAGTGTATAAATTAAATATTGTAACTTTCATGGCAAAGAGCTGTGAAATCCAATAGTAGAGGTAAACTCCAAAATATGAGTGACATCATGAAACATGATACATGCATAGATACTGGAGGATAGACTGGAAACTGGGAAGGTGGAGGAGGAAAAATTTCCTGTCCATTTGTTCTTTCTTACACTTGCCTTTAGCATGGCCTGCCTCCACAGCTGGGCCAGGACACGTTCTGAGTCAGGACTTAAGATATCCCGAAGACTCCAGGCCTCATGATGTACAGTCTTCCACATTTGGTGTTTCTGAACAGTGAAACGCTCCAGAGAGCTGTGGCTGGAGGACTGCTCTGCTGTCTTGGGGTTGGTAACCAGGCCTGTATCTCCTCTCTTCTCTCCACAGCAACATTAAAGACATTAAGAAGAGGATGGAGGCAAAGAGAGTGGAGAGGGTCCAGGCCATGCTGAGGAATACCAGTGACAAGGCTGCGCAGGAGAGGTACGGGAGTGGATGTTCCTGGGCTTTTTCCATGCAGGATCTCCTGCTGACTTGGAAGCTGAAAAAGTACAATTTTGCATTCAGTTATTTGTCTTATGGCTCAGCCAAATTTGAGTGGTGTTTTATTTGTCCTTCCTAAAATTACAGCAGCTTCTCCCTGTGGCAGGAGAGTGTGGGAATGTAATACACCTGTTGATCACTCTATGACACTGGTCAGTACTGACAAATGTGTTTTATGGAAGAACAGCTGGATTTCACAGGGTTTTATAATTTTCTTTAAAGGTTGAAGAAAGAAATTAACAACTCCCACATTCAGGAAGTGGTGCAGACAGTCAAAAGGGTGAGTTCTGGGGCATCAGGCTGCCCCAGCAGCTCTGGCTTCTGCAGGGGTGTGGCTGGGGGATTTGTAACCCGTGGCTCAGGAACAGTGGGAAGGCCTGGCAGGAGGAAAGACACCTCAAGGACCCAGCTCTGCCCTCTGAAGATCCAGTGCCAGACAAAGCCGAGTCCATGTCTGTCTGTCTGTGAGTGTCAGCATTTGAGTCCATGTGTCCGTCCATGTCCGTGTGTGTGTCTGACTGGCCACGTGTGATCACGTGTCCAGCTGTGTGTGTGTGTCCCTGCTCCTGCAAGTGTGTGTTTGTCTGTGTGTGTGTGTTGAATCCATGTGTCTGTGTCCATGGCTGTGTGTCTCTGTGCATCTGTCTGTGGCCAGGTCTGTCTGTCCCTTTGTGTATCTGTGTTCATTTGATTGTGTCTGTCTGTCTGTTTGGGTATCTGAGTGCATGTGTCTGTGCATCCAGGTGTCTGTATGTCCTCCTGTGTCTGCATGCCCATTTGTGTCCATGTATGTCTTTGTGTCTGTGCATGTGTGTGTGTCTATCCATGTGTCCCGTGTCCACGTATGTCTGTGTACGTGCGTCCATCTGTGCCTGTCCATGGGTGTGTGTCTGTGTCCCCCCCATGTCCTTAGGTGAGTCTGCGTTTTGTGGATCTCCTCCAGCTGTGTCCCTGTGTGTGTCAGTGTATACCTGTGTTGATCTGTGTGTGTCCATGAGTGTGTCCTTGTGTGTGTGCTCCCATTTATGTGTTCATATCCTGTGCCTGTGTCCATGTGCGTATCTGTGGTCCACATCTGCCTCTGTCCATGTGTGTCAGTCTGTCTGTGTCCATGTCTGTGTTTATGTATTCTGTGCCTGTGTGTGCATGTCCATGTGTCTGCATCCATGTCTGTGCCTGTGTCCAGTTCCATGTGTGTGTCTGCCTGTCTGTCACATGTCTCTGTGTCCATGTGTGTGTCCATACATTCACATCCAGGTGGGTGTGTGTGTCAAGGTGTGTTCATGTGTCCATGTCTATATGTCTGCCTACGTCCATGCATATCAGTGTATTTGTGTCTGTATCCCTGCATCTGTCCATGTGCTTGCCTCTGTCTGTGTGTCTGTGCCTGCCACGTCTGTGTCCATGTGCCTGCTTGTGTCCATGAGTTTTGTCTATCCATGTGTTGCCTCCTGGTGTCCATGTGTATGTCTCTGTATGCCTGTGTGTGCATCTGTGTCAATGTGTGTATCCGTGTCCGTGTCCACATGTCCTTGTGTGTCTCCATCTGTCTGCCTCTGTCCATGTGTCTGTCTGTGCCTGTGGGTCTGTGTCCATGTGTCTCCATCTGTCTCCATGTCTGTGTTTCTGTGTCCATATCCATACATGTCCGTGTTCCTCTGTGTGGGTGTCCATGGGTGTTTGTGTCTGTGTCCAGCTGTCTTGTGTCTATGGGTGTGTCCGTGCTCCTGTGTCCATGTCTGTCTGTCCATGTATACCTGTGCCTGATGGTGTACATGTATCTGTGTGCCTGTGTGTGTCCAGGTGTCTGTCCTTACACAAGTCTGTGTATCCATGTATGTCTGTGTCCCTGTCCCTATGTCCCACTCACCTGCCAGGCTGTTGTGGTGTCCCCAACTCCAGGCCCATCCTGCTGGGCTGAGCTTGGGCTGTCCAAGCCCCCTCCCTATAAAACTGGGGTCTGAGGGGGGTCAATTTATTCTTTTTAAAGGTGACAGAGAAGACTGACAGATACCAGCAGAAACTGGAGGAGAAGCAGGCAGCAAGGCTTCAGTCTATCAAGGAGAGAGAAGGCCAGGTATGGATGACATTTAGGGTCAGGGCTTGTTTCTTGACACAAGAAGTCCAAACCCCCAGAGAATCTTTATTCCCACCCAGTCCCAGGGGGTGAGAAAGTGGATGAGAGGCCCACATAGACCCCAGAAGGACCAACAGCTCACCCCAGAACTCCTGGTCTGACAGACAGGCTTGGCTCCAGTGTGTGGGAATGACTTGATTCTCAATTTGCAGCTCCAGCAGCAGGTACAGGTGGAATATGAGGAGAAGCTGAGAGCTCTGAACATGGAGGTTCAGGAGATGGTGAAGAACTACACCAAAGCCAGCTTTCCTGGAGAGCCACAGACTGGGAAGGAAGCAGGTCAGAGCATTCCTGAGGGAGAACAAGGCTCTACAGATCAACTGGAAGCAAATATCCCAGTGGCAGAGATGTCTAGGCTTACACTGGCAATGACTGAGCCTGCAGGAGCTGGAATGGATGTGGAGATAGAAGAGAGCATATTCTGAGATTGGGTCCCTTCCTTACTGTTCATTGTAAGAAGGTGTATGGTGAAAGTAACAACCAGTTTCACAAACTACTGCCATCCCTTTCCATTCTGGGGAGCTCCTGAAATCCTTCAGGAATGTACTACATTTTCCCAGATATCTGGAAGCAGTCTGGAGAGCTCACCCTTCAGAGTACTTTACTCTGTCTTTCCCAGCCTGAGTTCTGAGGTATTTCAGCAGTGGGAAAGTGCCTGCAGACCAGCTCCCTGTTGGCATCACAGCAGCAGCTACAGGAATATTTACTTTGCATTCCTCATCGTTCCTCACATGTATCCCTTCACACCAGTCCAACTCCTCCTAACATCTTCCACACGGTTCAGTGAAACAGCAATAAACAAACCAAACAAAAACCCTAAACACTGATACAAAGAGACACCACAGGTGGGGATGGGGGTGGAAGGTGGGTTCAATCACAGCAAACCACACCAGGCTATGCATCCTACAGGAAAACAGTTACACATGAAGCTGCATTAATTAAGGATTACAAATGCTGCTAAAACCAAACCAAACCCCAGGTCAAGTAGGTATGAGACAGCATGTTCCAAGCCTAGTCTGAGCACCCAAGAGTCCACATCTCCCCTGTGATGTCATCAGAGTACTGGAATTATGGATTGTACATTTCTGAGCTATTTATTTTCTAAAAAAAATTAAAACATTGCTGTTCTTAAACAACTGGGTCACTTGTCACTTAGCTGCAGTTAGTGTGTCCAATATCTGGTCGCGAGTCTTGATGTCTGTGTCCAGGTGTGTACATGTACATCTGCACATGTCCTTGCTTGTGTGCCAGGCTGTCTGTCCATTTGTATGTCCATATGTGTGTCATCCCTGCCTCAGTGTGTCTGTGTCCATCTATCCAGCTGTGTCTGTATTTCTCTGTGCCTGAGCGTGTGTTTGTGTCTGTCTGTATCAGTGCATCTCTATGTGTCCATGTCTGTGAGCACGTGTGTCTGTATGTCTGTGTCTCTGTATCCAGGAGTGTGTGTCCATGTGTCTGTCCATGTCCTTGTGTCTCTGTCACAGTGTCTGTGGGTCCATGTGGCTGTGTCCATGTGTGTCTGTCCCTGACTGTCCACCTCTGGCTGTGTCCACGTCTGTGTGCCCATGTGGGTGTCTATATCCGTTCTATGTGTGTCTGTGTGTCCAGGTCCCTGGGTGTTTGTCTGTCTACCTGTCTATCCCTGTGCTGTTTGAGGCCCTTCCTCACCAGAGGACAAGCATCCCAGTGAGATCCAACAGCAGCCAGGGAGCAGTTGGAGATTTTACCTTAAATCCAGACAGGCAGCACTGGCAGTCCCAAACTGGAGCACAGGGGCACTGAACCCTGCATCCCACACCAGTATGTCACCAGCTCCAGCCACTCAAACCCCTCCAGAGGAGCTTTTTGGAGGTTATTTTAAAGGAATCTCTCCCTGGAGGGAATCTTCTACACAGATTTCACCTCAGTGCTAAAAAACACCTTCTAAATGTACTTTTCAGAGTGCACATGGAAGCATCACTATAAGCAAAGCCAGGGCTGCCATGAAGCAGATCACACTCTTTCTCCCCAGGGTGAAGCCCCTCTGAGCCCATGTGTGCCATGATGCCTCCCTCACCTCCCTGTCTGCACAAAATGGGGAAAAGTTCTGCAAGATGGGAAATGGACAAATAAATAAATAATAATAAATAAAGGCACTAAACCAAACGTTACTGCAAGGGTTCCTGAGCACAACTTGAGCTCAGCCATCCCTCCCCAGCAGCACAATTCAGTCACACCAGGGTTTGGTTACTCACGGACTCCAGAGGAGAGAGGCCATCCTGACTTTCCAGCACTGTTTCTTCCCATGGGATTCAGACATTCCTCGAGGATTCCCTCCTGTGCAGCCCTGCCTGTGTTTTTGTTTACCTGCTGAGCACAGGGTGATGTGGCACTTGGCTCAGACAGGCCTCTCATCAGGCTGTTACACACACAACTCCAATTCAGTGGGAGACAATAACGTCTGGTCAGACACTGAACGGCAGCAGATTTAGATACAACCTCTGAGCCTTTCCAAACTTTCATCTTTTAAGTGGCACACTCCTGATCTCATTCTCTGGCCCAAAATATTTAAGTGAGGCCAACCTTTGCACTATCTAATTAAAAATTAGATAATGGGGATGTCTAAAGCAGAGGAGGACTCCAACCCCTGCAAGGGACACAAACAGGAGACACTGTACCTATAAATGACCCCAATCCTTTTTACCTCCATAACAGAGATAATGCTGATGTGCCTAAGGCACTCAAAGAAGGAGCTGCTGCACAGTAACTATTCCATTTTAGAGACTCAATGTCAAATTCAGGAGCCTCATTTCAGCTGGGGTCCTTCTGTTGCCACTGGTTAAAACAGGGGCCTCTAGACAAAGATTTGTTCTGTTCCAAAATAAATGGGATAATAAGCTGCTGCATCCAACATCAGAGGCCTGTTGAAGGAAGACAGGCACCATCACAGATAAACCAGTGCAACTGGGATGTGACAGCACTGACAGACTCCCCGTTTGATTCAGCAAATTGTTCATATAAATATACCATGTGCCATCTTCAAAGGCCTCCTGGATGCTGATTGCCAGGCTATGCCAGCAAGGAAAATGCTCCATACTAACAAAACTGAAAGGAAGGAAAATAAAAGGGAAGTATTCAGGGGAAACATGACATAGAACAGCAGCAAACCCCGAGACAAGAGTGCACTCTTGTAAGAAAGGAAAAATACTCAGAGAAAACATCATCTCTGAGCATAATTACCCACAGAGTAGGCTCTGAGCTAGTCAGAGAAGAGACTACACCTTGTTATACAGTCAGATGTCACCAAGCATACATTAAATCCTGACCTGAACACTACTGCAATACAAATTCCAAACCTGCTCTGTATCCTCATTGTCCTGCCTGGTTTCTGGGGAAGGAGCTGTTGGCCCTGGAGACAGAGCTTCAATCTTTCAGCTAATCTACGTTTATCTTAGGATTTATGTTTGATTCCACACTCATCTAAGTAATGGAGCAGTTAATTGGTGCTGTGGCGTGCATGAACTGCAAAGAGAGAAACGTAAGAAGCAGGAATTAAATTCTACACTGCACAGGAAGATGGATCCTTTCTGCATTCCTCACAAATATGCTAATGAGATTTTAAAATTTTATAAGATACTTGAATGCAATTTTTCCAGGGCCTTCCCTCACTATGTTCAGTCAGATTTGGGCTAAAGTATAAAATGGTGTCAAAATGCTAAACCTGTCACCCCTGTCTCCAAGAAACCTTTGTTTCAGGACTCAGGATCCAGGCTCCTGCCCCAGTCTCCTCTAGTTTTAGAAGCCATATAGCGACAGAAGGAAGTTAGAACAGATTCCAAGGTTCACATTCACGTCTCTGAACTACAGACACATTTTTAAGCATCTCAACACTGTAACAGGCTTATGAATAAATCAAGAACTACTTTAATTTAAAACACAAGTGCAAAGGCTTCACAACTAAAGACGAGCAGGACTGTTTGTTTCAAATTATAAATCTTTTCCAAGCCCTGCTTCTTTTGCATTAAAAAAAAGCAATATATCTGGAATACAGAAACATTTTACATCAAAAATTTTCCAGTGCAGCTAAGGAGGAGCTTAATGAATTAATTTCAACCAACTCCATCAGCTCCAAACTTAGACATCCAGTCTACAGAAACCCCCTACGACCTCTACCTGCCATGGGTAAGAGAGAGAGTGATTTTGTCCTTCAGCAGGTGTCTGAACCAAGGGGATGGACCACCTCCAGAGCTGTTCCCCCAGGGGTGTTCCTCTCCCCGTGGGCTACAGAACCAATGTACAGCTCTGCAGACTGGGTGCCCACCCTTTGACGGCTGGCAGCAGTGCAGATGAATTCCGTCCCAAATTACTTCAAGTAATCAACCGTGGCTTCAATTTTGAAGCAGAATCTGTAGCTGGAGCAAATAGCAGAGGTTATGAACATCTTCTGAAGAAAACGCAGTTCTGAGGTCAGTTTCTGAGACAGCAGGACTGTCCTGAGAATAACTAAAAGTCCAAAACCTTGGTATCTGGAGTTCCAAAACAAGATCCCAGTTCCACATGTACGAATATATTCTTGAGACCTCACAACAACACACATCATCACTGTACAATGTTAATCCTGACCTAGAGTCCAATTACCTTGAGGATCTCACTGATCAGAGAGTGCAGCATACAAAATATCTAAAACTATGTTAAAATAACTGAAAGAGCCGTTTAGACAACCAGAAACCATCCAGAAGTAAAGGGCTGATGGGGAAGGGCAGACCAATAGCCAGACAGCAGCACACAAACACAAAAATCAATCCTGGGATATGCAGGATAGCTCAAATATTTCCATTTAGTCTCCTATGGCATCCCCAAAATGCTACCCAATAACTGCCCCAGGGAAGCACTTCTCAGCCTCTTCTGGGAGTAAGGACTGGGAAAGCAAGGTGCCTGGAGACCAGCCACAGGAACACACTGTTCACATTCCAACCAGCACACAGAGTGTTGCAAATGGTGAATTTTCAACCATTAGATCCTGGTGGTAAGAGCACCTGGTCTTCATAGAGTCCACTTTGAGGACCATATCCAAGGGTTTCCCCCTTCAGAAGTTTAAAATTATGAAATGGATTCAAGACTGACCACTAAACCATACATATTCTGCAGCAAGAGAAGCATGTTGATGCAAGAGAGCCACTTAGAAACAAATATATACATATCACATCTGCTCCCTAAGGAAGTGTATGCAGGTTTCTAGGTCCATGTTTAACCAAAGGAAATTAAAATCATCTGTGAAAATGTCTCAGAGGAAAAAAAAAGTCTTTGTGCATTTACAGTTTAAAGGTGTCTGTGCCCCAAAGAGAGTCAGCTCATGGCTCCAGTGTATAATGAAGGAAACAAAGATCACATTTCTAAGTGGGAAATATTGTTGCAGCTCAGTAGTCAGCAGCCAGGGTGTGCAGAAACCCACAGACATTCAGATACACAACTTCAGACTCCATTTTTGAATGCCATCCTTCGGCAGCAGCGATCCACAAGCCATGGAATACCCGCTTTATCCTTGAGACAGACTTAGTCTCACTTAGATCTAGTCTGTTTTGATTGTCTTCAGCAATGAAGAAGCCACATAAGGCTGAGGATGCACGGAAAGGATTCACATTCGTCCTCCAAAAACAATCACTGGCAAGTTCCAAGCACCATTCACAGGTCGAGACTGCCTGGGCTCTTAATTTTTTCTCTATGATTTTTTTTTTATAAACATTCTTTTCCCCTACAGTTTCCCTCATATAAAGTCAGCAGGTGGAGGTGCGCTTCCTGTACTGCTGGATAAGGGGCACCAAGCACTCTGGAAGTCCTGTCTGGAGCAAAAAGGGGTGATCCAGAAGTTCTTGTGCTGTTGCTCTTTTCAGCGGATCCCGTGTCAACATCCTTTCCAAGAAATCTCTCAGAACTGGGGAGGTCTGTGAAAAAGCAACCAACCAAAAGTCAACCACACAAAGGGACCAGGCACAGCTCATGCAACACCAGGCTGCTGAGGTGAGTGTGGTTAAAAGGATCCTGCACATTACCAATCTGTATCCCTGGTTTTTTCCAGCAATGTGACACAGGCCACATGCTTTTTATGCTATGGACATAACTTTCTGTCACTGCTACGCACAACACTTAGGTTGTTTTCTTTTGAATGAGATACAGTCTGCAACATCCTTCCATTTGGGTTACTTTTGCTTCCCATTTTGTTACCTAAACTTTCTTGGATTTCAGCTCAAAAACTCAGCAGGATTCCTGCTACATGAGCACATCACCTGGGCAGGAAGGGGGCATTAATCCATTCTTTCACTGGTCACAGATAATGGAAAGGTAGTTAAATAGAGTTCTCCAATAGGTTCTAAAAGCCTGAAAAACCTTTGTGCTAATGCTACAAGAAGATGGAGAAGCTGCAGAACAAGGACCAAAAAGCTCAATGACCTCACAGGTTTGTCCTTTGGAAGAGGTGTAAAAGCCTGGGAGTAGCC